TGTGTGTGTGTGTGTGTGTGTGTGTGTGTGTGTGTGTGCGTGCGTGTGCGTGCGTGCGGATGTGCTCAGATATGACAGGTCAGGCCCTGAGGAAACCTGGCGACAGGGCTCCTGTGGAGGACAATGCCGCCATCCGCATCAACGTGGGTGGCTTTAAGAAGCGTCTCCACACAGACACGCTGTCTAGGTTTCCAGAGACACGGCTGGCGCGCCTTCTCCAATGCCGGTCCAAGGAGTCCATACTAGAGCTGTGCGACGATTACGATGATGCAGAAAAAGAGTTTTACTTTGACAGGAATCCCGCACTTTTCCCCTACGTGTTGAATTTTTACAACACGGGCCGGCTGCATGTCATGGCCGAGCTGTGCATCTTCTCTTTCAGCCAGGAGATCGAGTACTGGGGCATTAACGAGTTTTTTCTCGACTCCTGCTGCAGCGGCGCCTACCACTGTCGGAAAATGGACCAGGACCGAGAGGAGTGGGAGGACAAGAGTGACGAAGGAAGCACCACATCCTCATTCGACGAGCTGTTGGAGTTTTACAATGATGCCACAAAATTTGACAAGCAGCCACTGGGGAGCACCCGCAGGCGCGTTTGGTTGATGCTGGACAACCCAGGCTACTCGGTGGCCAGCCGCGTTATCAGTGTCTTCTCGATCCTGGTGGTGCTCGGCTCCATTGCCACTATGTGCATGAACAGCATGAGCGAGTTCAGCCTCTTGGACGCTCAGGGGCAGCCCACGGAGGACCCCCGCTTTGAGATTGTGGAACATTTGGGCATCGCTTGGTTCACACTCGAGCTGGTGGCCAGGTTCGCGGCGGCCCCGGACGTTGTGCACTTCTTCGAGCTCCCGTTGAACCTGATCGACTTGGTGTCCATACTTCCCTTTTACTTGACACTCGTCATCAACCTGGTGGTGGAGAGCAGTCCGGCGCTGGCCAACCTGGGCCGCGTCGCTCAAGTGTTGAGGCTCATGAGGATTTTCCGCATCCTGAAGCTAGCGCGCCACTCGACCGGGCTGCGCTCCCTGGGGGCCACCTTGAGAAACAGCTACAAGGAGGTTGGCCTGCTGCTTCTCTATCTTGCGGTTGGGGTGTCGTTCTTCTCTGTCATGGCGTACACGGTTGAGAACGAAGACAGCGAGGACCTGTCCACCATTCCGGCGTGCTGGTGGTGGGCCACGGTCAGCATGACCACTGTGGGTTACGGGGACGTGGTGCCCTTGTCGATAGCGGGCAAGCTGACAGCCTCAGCCTGCATCCTGGCGGGGATTTTAGTCGTAGTGCTTCCGATCACACTCATTTTTAATAAATTCTCCCTGTTTTACAAGAGACAAAAACAGCTGGAGATCGCAATGCGAAGCTGCGACTTCGACGAAGGCATCAAAGAGGTGCCTTCAGTCAACCTGAGGAACTATTATGCGCACAAAGTCAAGTCTCTTATGGCCAGCTTGTCAAACATGAGCCGGAGTTCACCCAGTGAGCACAGTCTGAATGAGTCAATACACTGAGGGTGGTCCTTCGGATGCCTGCGTGAGGACCTGGACCAGGAACCGAAGCATTTGGTGTCAAAGCCCCATTAACTTCCATCTTGTAACTCAAGGGTTGTGGGAAATTAGAAACACTCTCCATGGGGAATTGGATGCGTTTTGAAATTATAATCTGGATAATATGGAATTTTGAGATCATTTAAAAATGATGAATTTCATGCAATAATAACAATGAACATTTGTTTTAGATGTTTTTATTATCAGTCTTTTCCAGGACATTGCTTTGTTTCCTCAGCTCAAATTCTAAAAAAAAAAAAAATACAGTGAACTCGGTGTGAGCAGATCTGCCCTGGAGTTCTGAGGTTCTGGGTCTGAATCTTGGCTTCGGTCTTTCTGTGTGGAGTCTGCATGTTTTACGTGTGCTTGTGTGGCTTCTCTCTGGGTACTCCAGCTTCCACATTCCCAAAATATTAAGGGCAGGGTAGGTTAAAATTTAAATTGTCCGTAGGTGTCAATATGAGTCTCAGTGGTCATTTGTCTATACATTATGTGCCTTGTGATTGGCTGGCGATCATTTAACTCAAAGCCAGCTGGGATGAGCTCAAAATCACCAGTAACCTTAGGAGAAAACTAATGCATTTCAAATAATCATTTTGATTTTTTTGGATATCTTTTATTTTTCAGTCCTTTGTAGGAAATTGCTGTGTTGCACCAGATACACCATAGTAAGCATAAAAGTAGAAGTGTCAGTTAAAACATGCTTAAATATTTTACATACAATCACATAACTGATGACTGAAAATAACCTGTAGTTGTACAACATCGGGCCAGAGTAAGTGTGCGTAATGATCAAAAAAATGTAGTGCACTGTCACCTTCCGAAAACAAGTCATGTTTAGTCCTGAATATATTTGAACAACATATTTAAAGGGGTAGAATTGCATGATCTGTTTAAGTGAGGATGAGCGAGGTGGCCAGCAACATGCTTGCATGATTTATCCAAGAAAATCATTTTTATCAAAAAAATGACAAAGGGTCTTATTTTGGGAGGGGGAAGATATCAACACATATCCGGTATACTGTATTCATAGAAATATACAGTAGATACTCTCATAATACATGCTGTTTTCTCAGAAGCATGAATAGAAAAATATACCTTTTAAGTGGCTTTAAGACATCAAAATTACATTATTTGTATGAATAAGAACAGCAATCTCTCTCTCTCTCTCTCTCTCTCTCTCTCTCTCTCACTCTCTCTCTCTCTCTCTCTCTCTCTC